ATATATATAATGTGTGTGTATGTATCATTGCTGTTGTTAGATGCCATCGAGTCAGTTACTACTCATAGCAACCTTATGCACAACAAAACAAAACATTGCCCAGTCCTGTGCCAACCTCATAATTGTTTTTACCCTTGAGCCCAATGCTGTTGCCACTGTGCCAGTCTATTTCATTGGGGTCTGCCTCTTTTTTCCTGACCATCCACTTTACCAAACATGATGTCCTTCTCCAGGGACTGGTCCCTCCTGATAATATGTCTATAGTATGAGAAACGAAGTCTGGCCATCTTGGCTTCAAGGAGCATTCATTCCAGTTGTACTTCTTCCAAGACAGATTTGTTTGTTCTTGTTGCAGTCCAAGGTACCTTTAATATTCTTATTCAACACCATAACTTAATTGCATCAAATCTTCTACTGGCTTCTTTATTTTTTGTCAACTTTTACATGCATATGTGACTATTGAAAGTACCATGGCTTGGGTCAGGCGTACCTTAGTCCTCAAACTGACATCTTTGCACTTGAACACTTCAAAAAGATCTTGTGCAGATGATTTGCAAATGCAATACATCATTTGATTTCTTGACTGTTACTTCCCTAAGTGTTGATGGTAGCTCCAATAAAAATGAAGTCTTTGGCAGCTTCAACCTTTTCTCCATTTATATGGGTATTGTTTATAGTCCAATGATGAGGATTTTTGTTTTCTTTACACTGAGATGCAACCCATACCAAATGGCTGTGGTCTGTGATCTTCATCAGTACCTTAAGTCCTCTTTGCTTTCAGCAAACAAGGTTGTATCATTTGCATATTACAGGTTTTTCATGAGTCTACTTCCAATCCTGATGCCACATTCTTCTACATATAATCCAGCTTCTTGGTTTATTTGTTCAGCATACAGATTGGATAAGATTGGTGAAAAAATACATCCTTGGCACACACCATTCTTTATTTTAAAACATTCAATGTCTCCTTGTTCTATATGAATGACTGCCTCTTGGTCTATGTACAGGTTCCTCATGAGTACAATTAAGAATACTCATTCTCTGCAATGTTGTCCATAGCTTTTCATGATCCACAGTGGAGAAAAGAGAAAAAGAGAGATTTATAAACAAGAAATGGCTTACACAGTTGTAGAGGTAGACAAGTTCCAATTTCATGGTTCAGCTGTCAGGCTGAAATCTTCTCCTGACTCATGTAGCTGCAGGAGCTGATAAACCCAAGACTGACAGGTCAGATAGCGGGCTTCTGGCTGCAGAGGAAAATGAATCCAAGGCTGGCAGGTAAGATGGCGTGCCACAAGGGCTCTCAGGATTTTCAGTCAATACAACAGGCCACTGTCTCAAGTCAAAAGAATTGGAAGTCACATGACAAGCCAGATGCAGGATCCAGACCCAGCAAGCCCAGGAAGTGCATTCATCTGGTTCTTGATATGGCTCTAGGTTCTGCTGCTACCAAGTTTCTGGCACTTCTTTGCTTCTCTGGTGCCACAGCATTCTGTCCCTGAGATAACAGGGTTCAGTGTGCAGGGAGCTCAGGATCCAAAGGACAGGCTACACTTCTGGTTCGTCTTCTTCCATGATGGCAATAAGATCCCGCATCCTGTTTCAAAGATGGCTCATTTTTACCCAGCTGGATGGCAAAATTAGTCATGTTATCACTCATAACTTTATTATATAGTCCTTTCAACAGCATTCCTCACCTTTTCCTATCCAGACTAATCAGGAAAAATCTCTTGATAGAAGTTACAAAGACTTTGGGTAGAAGAGACATTAAAGAGTCCATTGCACCACAAGTAGTAAGACCACCTAACTTTGGGCTTTGTATTCTTTTGAAGAATTTAGTCACTTTTGGAATATAAACTGCAAGGGCCAGACTAGGTACTACGTTTAGGATAAATCAGTAACTATTTTAATTGTCTTCAAGACAATGCTGTATAAAAATTATTCCTGATAACAAATTGTTTATCAGCTTTGTTCCAACCCTTTTTTTTTCTTTCTTTTTTTTTTTAACATGGTAATTCCAATAAATTTTGGTATGAGAGTCTCAACATACTTTCATCTTTGGAGCATTTTTAACACTGAAGTCAAAATGCTACCACCATTTCAAATCATATATTCAATAAACTTTAATCAGCTGTCATTGTTCGTTTAACATGATTTTTATTTTAACAATATATACACACACATGGTCACTATGTGCAAATGGAGGACAATCACATCAGAACCATATATATGAGGGTAAAGAATAATGTTACTAGGTTTCCAATTAATACATGCACATGTTTATTACAACTAAAACATGCTTAAACATGTCTCTGTGATCGGTGGATAGCCACAGACAAGTTCTCTCAGCAACACACTTGTTTTAGTCTCATTTGAGTACCTTCAAAAAAGTATACTCATGGTAGAGCCTTGTGCCCCCATGGCCACCTGCATGGCTGCCATGCTGCGACGGCCACCATAGCCCGCTGCCCTGAAGCCACTGCCACTGCTACTGTCGCCGCTATCTCTAGACCAGTTGTTTGATTAGGCCACAGTCTTCAATGAGTAAACACATTCCTCCGTTTTGTGGCATTCTTGGTCACACATTTACGGAGTTTCTGAAGGGCAGTGGAGATTACTGCCAGGTACAGCAAGACTGCTATGCAGACAAGTGGACTGTAGAAATTTATTACTACTCCACCAAGAAGCCCCCATAAGAGCAGTTAACCCAGACACAGAAGGGTTGAATTGAAATCCCCAGAGCAATTTTCAAGAGTTCTGACCTGAATGAGGTAAACCTCAGTGCACTTCCTTTCTATTGCCTCAGTATTACTGGATTGTAGAATTGCTGCTTCTTGTTAGGAGGTTCATTTCATTTCCCATTCCTCCCAACACCAGACTGAAAGTACTGAGAACTGCAAGTGGAGTCTTTTGAAGTAGACTTCAGTTTCTTTACATCATTTCTGTATTCACTTTTTAAAATTCTTTCATAACCCTGTTGAATTTTTAAAACGAAATCAACATGTCTCAAATGAACCATCCAGCTCCCGTGGAAGTCACACACAAGAACAGGGGATTTCTTATTATACATAATCCAACCAATGTGACCTTAAATAAATGTTTAGAGGAACTTAAGAAGTATGGACTTAATACAATAGTAAGAGTATGTGACTCAACTTATGACAGTGCTCTTGTGGAACAAGAAGGCATCTGTGTTCTTGATTGGCCTTTTGATGATGGTGCACCACCATCCAATCAGATTGTTGACGACTGGTTAAGTCTTGTAAGCATTAAATTTCGTAAAGAACATGGTTGTTGTATTGCTGTCCATTGTGTTGTAGGACTTGGGAGAGCTCCAATGCTGGTTGCCTTAGCATTAATTGAAGGTGGAATGAAATCTGAAAATGCTGTATGGTTCATAAGACAAAAGCGACATGGAGCTTTTAATAGCAAGCAACTTTTGTATTTGGAGAAGTATCATCCTAAAATGCTTTTGCACTTCAAAGATGCCAGTGGTCATAGAAACAACTGGTACATTCACTACAATGGGTGCCTGATGGCATTACTTTGGAAGTGGAACTTGAGACAGGAACTAATTTTTCATGCATATTTACCAACATGTTGTTGTTGTTAAGTGCTATTGAGTCAATTCCGACCAATAGTAACCCTATATAAGGTTTCCAAGGAGCAGTTGGTGAGTTTGAACCACCGACTTTGCAGTTTAAACGACTTGACAGTCTGACGCGTTAGCCCACAACACTACACCAGGACTCCAATAAAGCTTCCCTAGGCTTTATTGAAAGCAGCTTTGCCAGGCTACAAGCTTGACAGAATTGCAGTCAGCCTATCTGGACATTTCGCAAAGGTTTCTTACTCTTCAGCATTTAAAATGTTCTTATCATTTGTGCCAGTTGACCTTTCTTGAAATCATGCAGTATCCTTGTAAGACTTTAAATATATCCCCATGTCAGAATCTTATCAATATATAAGAAATTTAGCATGATTAAGTGCCAAAATACCCAGCACAATATGTGTATATTTTTAGCATCATGCAGAACTAATAAATCCCAGCAACTATGAACACTAGACCTTTATGAGATTTATTCCTTCAATCATTTCAAACTTTGAAGATTGAACCCATATGGTTATTTGCCTGCTCGGATTCTGTTTATATCTCCCCCATTTGTACCAGTATACAACAGGTTTACTCAATTGCTGATTTTTTAAAAAAAAATCAAATCTTAACAATGATTATTTAATGTCTTTCTATAAATTTCATTTTGAAAAAACCTACATTGTACAGAAGCACATGTCTTTAATGTCTCCAGACCAAAAAAAAAAAAAAAAAGGCTTACGGCTTACTTTTAATTTAATGTTTGCACTTAGGAGGTGTGAAACTTAACAGGGAGGAAACTATTAAATTTTTAATGAAAATGTTGCCTTTTTCTTGTGTAGAACATGTAGAATATACTCTTTGATTTAGTAAATATTTTTTAAGAGGTACAAATGCTTTGTTATTATAGCTAAAACTATTGTTAATCATGCAATTTTTAAATCTTTGTGATTTTTTTTGCTCAACAATTGGAAATAGTTTACCAACTTTGTTTGAAGTGTGATTTCTTTTTTCTCTTTTCTAATCTCTTCCAAAAACAAAAGTGGATTTCTGCTAATGAATAGAGCACACTCTAATTTTTATATGCCTTTTGAGCTGTATAACTTAATATTTGGATACTTGATAATGTGTTTTATTATATAATTGGTAAAATAGTGATGTGTATTAATGTTAGTTCAACCATATATTTATACTGTCTGGGAATGTGTGGTTATATTTCTGTGGGAGAAATAATTTTTCAGTTTTTACCAGCTTGTAAAAACCTACAAGAGCTTAAATATCTAAATAAATGATGAAATGTAAACAAATTAAAAAAAAAAAAAAAAAGGATACTCTTTGTGTCATAGAATAAAATAATTTTGAGGTCAGGGCTAATATCAAATTTTAAACAAAACTCAAGTGAATATCTTACCAAATCATTTAAGCTTTGTGACAAATTTAAAAGCACGTTGCCCCTTAAGAAACAGTAGTTTTTAGATGACTCACATGTCTTTAGGAAGGTCAGGAAGACCTTTAAGATGAGTTAAGAGAGGCAAGACCATCAACTTCAATGAATGAAGATACTGTGGATAAAGACCAGAAAATGGTGGAGTAAGACTGTAGTTACCAATGATGTGATAGTTACTAAAGTGGGAATTTCACATGTTTTAGCATTTTCCATTTTAAGCAAGTACCTTGGCCTTAGCAAGCTGTTGGCTGATAGATGCCAAAGAACTGATCTTTTCATCTGTCTTTAAGAAAGATCAAAGCTAATAAAGATAGTTTACGGAATAAATTGTAACCAGGAACAAATCTTAGATTTACCAAGATGATCCAGAGAGCAAAGTCAAGTCAAAACAGTGGCTTTGGAGGGGGTCTGCTGGGTCAGTAAAATTCAAGGCAGAGAGGTCAACTCAGAAGGTTATGGTGTCTGGTGGGATTCCAAAGGGTCATTTTGGTATGTTTTCTTCATGGATAGAGGATGATCAGGGGGCTTATTTGGAATAACTTTTAATCAATGAAGTGAATAGAGTTAAGTGTTTATAAAAATTATATTCTAGACTGCTTTAGAAGCCTTAAAGGGCCAGGAACCAAGCACAGGTTTTTTGTCTTTGTTTTTGTTTTGAAACCTTTTCTTGTGAATTGAGTGATGGTTTACAGAGCAGATCATCAGTTTTACTTTCAACAGATCATATGTGTCTTTCATTTCAATGATTGCAAATCCTTCCACAGAACATTCCTTATCCCAGTTCCTCCCTATGATTCTTTTTCCATTCAGCTATCTTTTCCCACACTTCTGAATGTTTTTCTTAGTTAAATGCTGCCATTTTCATCTTAAATGGTTGACCATTCCATGGTTTTCATACCTCTCTAGTGTTGTGACCCTTGCTATGTACTATCTACTACTTGGCTGGAAGTTAAGCCATGAAGTTGAGTTCAGTTCCAGACCTGAAGTCTGATCGAGATCCATGCACAGTTCTTGATAGGCTCATAGAGCTGGAGAAGAGGTGAGAGCTCCACAGAGAATAGGCAGAACACTTGGGTAAGCTCAGAGTGAACTGAAGATCTATGCCACCACACATCACAGTAACTACTAAAGGTGAATGTTTGAGAAGCATAATTTAAAAAAGCCATTCATCAGGCTGATAGGATAGTAAAACTCAGATGCTGCCATCAGAGCGGTTAACAATGACAATGTTGTTGTTTTCAAGTGCCGTTGAGTTGGTTCCTACTCATAGCAACCCTGTATAGAGTTTCAAAGGAGCAGTTGATGGGTTTGAAAAACCAACCTTGTGGTTAGTTGTTGTTGTTTGGTGCCATCGAGTTGGTACTGACTCATAGCACAGCAGAATGAAACACTGCTCGATCCTGGGCCAACCTCACTACTGTGGCCGTGCTTGAGTCCATCGATGCTGCCACTTGGCCAATCCATCTCGTTGGGGGTTTTCCTCTTATTCTCTGACCCTCCACCTTACCAAACAGAATATCTTTCTCCAGCGACTGGTCCCTCCAGACAGTATGTCCAAAGTATGAGAGATGAAGTTTGGCCATCTTGGCCTCCAAAAAGCACTCTAGCTGCACTTCTTCCAAAACAGATCTATTGGTTCTTTTGTCAGTCCATGGCACTTTCAGTATTCTCCCCCAACACTATAACTCAAAGGCATCAATTCTTCTACAATCTTCCTTATTCACTGTCCAGCTTTCGCATGCATATGAGGTTATTGAAAATACCAT